CTCATTTTTCTTTTGTCTTCCAAGGCTGGACTAGTTGGCTGGGAAGAGTGGCTGGATACTCAGGTGAGGGTCCAGTGACTCAGCTTGACACTCCTTTAATGAATGAGCACAACCGTCAGCAAGCCCAGTTGTGACTATGTTTAGTGATCAGGCTCAGCCGAAGTCATGATGATGGTAGTTATTTCATGCAGAAGGGACTGCTGTATAGCAACATCTTATTAAAAGGACCTGGAATTTAAAAGGAGAGAGATGTCTTAAGAGCACTGGCTGCCCTTACACAGGACGCAGGTTCAGTTACTAGCACCCATGCAGCGGCTAACAATTACCATCTGTAACTCCAGTTCCAGGGGATCTGACACCCTCTTCTGGCCTCTGTAGGCATTGCATGACATGGGTGCACTTACATAAATGCAGATAAAACACCCATATACAATAAATAAACAAACATAGATTCATGAGGTAAGCATTTTCATTTGACAGATGAGGAAATTGAAGCACAAAGATGGCAAATAGCTGCCCAAAATCACACAGTGAGAAGGTGTCAGAGCACGCCCAGGTGTATTACCTCTCCAGAGTCAGTGGGGACAGTCATATGGATACACAGGCATATCTTGAGTGAAAAGCTAGTGGAAAGCATTTCAGTGGCCTCCTTTCCCAAGGTGATGGAGTTCACCTGGAGAAGGCTACCCCCAAGAAGTAGTGTGGGGGTGCTGGTTAATGTTAATGTTGGAGAATGCCATACACTCTAGGTGCTGTCTGAATTCTCATGGGCTCATAATGGGCATTTGTCAGAGACTAAACATCCCTTTATTTTCAATAGAAACACATAGACACTACCAACAAACATTAGCTAATCAGAGAAGAGCTTCCTCGGATGTTGATGTGGCTGGTCTTGTTCAGGAAGCCAAATCCGACCAACTTCTGAGTGCAGAGATGTAGGACTCAGCAGACTGTACAGCTACATGAACATGGGATTGGAAAATAAGGCTAATTAAATGAATGGATGCTTTTAGTATTATTCTAAATTCATGCTCTATACTGAAGCTGCCCTCACCGTTCCCTCCCTGTGGAGCTCTGACATTGGGACAAGTTCTAGGTCACGGGGGTGAAGCAGTCTGACCATGTGTGGTGCCTGGCTATATGCTGTTGAGATTGGACCTGTCCCTTTCTCTGGTGACTGCTCACCCTGGCATGGACACAAGGATATATATCTTGGATACAAAGGCTGTGTTCTGGCTTCCTCCTCTTCTCAGGGCATTCTTCAACAGAATGCAGGGCCAGTAGGTATCCTAGTTTGTTCTTCATTGCTGTGACCAAATACTCTGACCACTACCAACTTGGGGAGGAAGGGTTTATTTAGCTTGCATATCCCAGGTCACAGTTCATTCGGGAGCCCTAGGTAGGAACTCAGGGCAGGAATCTGGAGAAAGGAGCTGGAGCACAGGCCATGGAGGAATGCTGCTTACTGGCTTGCTCCCTTGGCCCCTGCTCAGCCTGCTTTCTTATGCAACACAGGCCCATCTGCCCAGGGGTGGCACCACCCACAGTGGGTTGGGCCCTCCCACATCACTCATCAAGAAGATGCCCCTCAGATAGTCCAATAAACAAAATTCTCCAATTGAGGCTCCCTCAACCCAGGTGTGTCAAGTTGACACTAAAGCTATCCAGCACAGTAGGTCATACTCAAAGTTCTTTGGCCTAAGAGCTTCCGTATTCCTTTCAAGCATCTTATATCACACACACACATACACACACACACACACACACACACACACACACACACACACACACACACGAGAGAGAGAGAGAGAGAGAGAGAGAGAGAGAGAGAGAGAGAAAGCGACAGAGACAGATTTTATGGGTTTTAAAAAATATTTTATTAGTTTTATTTTATGTGTATGAGTGTTATGCCTGCATGTAGGTAAGTGCACCTGTGTGGTGCAATGCCTGCAGGAGACAGAAGAGGCTGTCGGATACCTGGTACTGGAATTACAGACAGTTGTTAGCTGCCATGTGGGTGCTGGAAGTCAAACCTGGGTCTTCTGCAAGAACAGTCAGTGTTCTTACCGCTGAGCCATCTCTCCAGCCCCAAGGTTTTATGTTTTAAACATATAGAAAAATAAAGAAGATAATAGACACCCACCATTCCACTTTAGCAAGTATTAATAGCCATTTTACTTCTTATATTTTCCTCTTGAAGAAATAAAACATGACTAACAAGACTTGAAATCCCAGCCAGGCATGGTGGTGCATACCTGTAATCCTAGCTTGGGAGGTAGAGGCAGAAGGATCAAGAGTTCAAAGCCAACCTAGACTACATAGCAAGTTCAAGGCCAATCTGAGCTATATGAGACCTGTCTAAAAAACAACAAAAAACAGGACTGGAGTGATAGTTCCGTGGTTAAGAGCCCTGGCTGCTCTTGCGGAAGACCAGGGTTTAAATCCCAGCACCCACATGGTGGCTAACAACCGTCTATAACTTCAGTTCTGGGGGATCCAACACCTTCTTCTGTCCTCCATGGGTGCTGCATGACACAGGCACACTTACATACATGCAGACATAACACTCGTACATAAAATAAAAATAATTTTTTTTAAAAATTAAAATAAACAACAAAAAGTCTCCTTTGGAATCACAATTCTATGACATAGCCCAAGGATATTGTGCCCAGGGTACCGTTTCTTCTCTTCTGGGGTATTGCATCTCAGGCACTGGTTTGGTCTTCTGCATTATTTCCTAAGGTGTAGAACACATTACTTATTTCCTCTTCTCTGGGTTCTCTAAGATCTGAGGTCAGGAAGGAATTACCAACACTTTGCTTTCTAACAATGGGTACATGATATAAACCAGAAGTTCCCTGAGGCAAATGTCTCACCCCAGCCCCATTTGGGCCTAGTGGAGGCCACAGCTGCAGTAGGCTGACAGCCCACTCCTCTTGCCAGGATGTCTGTCTACTATCCCTGTGCCCCAGTTCTCAGCTAGCCATTCATCTACCATCTGAACTGAAAACAGCATCTTTGTTCTGAAACTCTAGGAAAAGGGCCCAAAGACAGCATAACTGAGACTTCACAGCTGTGTGTGCCTTCCTTGTTTCCAGTAATATAAAATTCACATTAACCCCTCCCACCTTTGCACAGCTTGCTTGTCTGAGGAGAAGCTGTGTTACTTTCGCTGAACTAATCCTCTCTTCAGTCTGTTAAAGGTCTGGTCTAAACTTTATTCTTTCTCTGTCCTAAATCTTACAGTGCATGCTCTACAACTTTCCTGATCTTTTGCTTTGTTTCCCCGGCCTTTCTGGACCCTGAATTCTCTTCTATGGACCCATCACCCTGTTACACACAGCACAGTGGTTTAAGGGCCCTGTGTACCCGTGGTTCAGCACTTTCATCTCTTTGCAGGTGTCAGCTCTGTCCAGTGCTGGGGGAACAGAGAACCTCATCCTCCTGGAACAGAAGCACCGGCCACATGAGGTGGGCTCTGTGCAGTGGGCTGGCAGCACCTTTGGGCCCATGCAGAAGAGCCGACTAGGCGAGCATGAGTTTGAAGCCCTCATGAGGATGCTGGACAATCTGGTGAGTACCCTGGTGCTGTCCTTCCAGGCCAGTCCACAGCGGCTGAGGCCCCAGAACCAGGTAGCTCAAAGTATTAGAGGCACACAAGAACAACTGCCTTGTCATGGGTTAGTTGTTGAAGGCCTCCAAGTTTGTGCTCATTTTAGCAGCACTTGGATTTTCTCCAGTGCTGGTCTTTCCTGCCTCTGCTAAGTGCTGAGAGGTCCTCCCATCTGCTCTCCATGAGAAACAGCAGTCCAGTGAAATCAGTGCCTCTCCTCAATTCAGAGCCCATCTCACATTGGGGCTTAGCCCCTGCTTCCTCTGGCGATGGTCCTGCCCCTCTCCTTACTCTCACAGCTTTAATACAGAAAGCTCACCCTAAGGCACAAAGCCCACTGTGCAGCACAAAGCCCACTATGCACCTAACTTCCTTTTTCTGAGCAACTTTACATTATCCCGTCATGTAAGGAATTTAACAGATGGGTACTCAGAGTGGGCTGATCCGGTTCATTAAAGGATACAAAGGACAGCCTCCTTCTGGGATTGAGTTGATGATATAGGCACAAGAGGGAAGCAAACCAGATGCATGAGGCAAGAGACTGTAAACACCTTAGCCTCAGAGAGGTGAAAGACCGAAACCATCTTCAGGGTGTTTTTGTTTGGTTTAACTTCCACACCCTCTTGGCTACTTGCGTTTCTAATGTCCAGGTCATTGCAGTAATGCGTATTTCCCTGCTTTCCTTTCCTTAATTCACCTTATTACCAGGTTGACCATGAGGGCGACTTTACAGTGCTGAAAGGTGTGGTCAGCCATGAGAAGGGAGCTCCTTTCATGTTTGTGCTGAACCACTGCAACTTAAAAAGCACCAGGACTGGCTGGTTTTCTATGGGAATCCTTGCAAACCTGTGAGATGTAATCAATCCGGGTGCTAGTTAGACTTTCAGAGAATGGTGAAGGAGGGTTCTAAGCCACAGCTTAGAATCAGGATCAAACCAATTTTTCTCTGAAGGTTGAAAGATGCTGAAAACTAGCAAGGAGCTTCAGCTTAGCTCTATACAACAACCACGCCAGGGTTCAGTCCTACAGTTCAATGATGCTTTAATAGTATAACTCTTTTCTTAATGCTATTCTTAAATTAATTCTTGAGGTTAGCATATAAAAGAATGGGCCTCCCCGTAGCATTTCACATGTGTCATCTGTACTACACTCATGTGTCCCCCTCCCACTGCTCTCTGCCCATTCCCACTCTAGCTGGTGCCCTTCCCTCCATTAGTCTCCAGTTTCTGCTTCTATGTGACATGTATTCCATTACCATCTCTTTATTCCCGCTCCCTCATGCTCCCCCAGCATGATCCCCTTTCTAGTTTTGTGACCTACAAACACACAGACATACATAGATATACATAAGTATACACACACCTACATACACATACATACATAAATATACATAAACATACATAGACACATAAATGAATATGTGTAAACACACATACTATGTACACAAAACACATGCTCACATATACATATACACACATACACATATGCACACAAACACACATCACACACATACACATACATATATAATTTTAAATCTAGGTTCTACTTATAAAATGAAAATTTGAGCTATATAATAATGCTTTTAAACTAATTTCCTCGTGTTTAAAAGTCAAAAAATAAAAACTTTTTGATTAGTTTAATAACTATCAAAAGTTATTTGATAAAAATTGAATATCAGTTGATAAAAATAATAGCTATCCACTAGAATAGGAGGATCCTTTAGCGTGTTTACATGATTTTTCTCAAAATAAGAACCAATCTCAGGCTGAAACACTCCAAGTATTTCTACTAAGCGTTGGAATGATGCACTCCCCACCTTCAGCTAATAATGTTCTGGAACAGTACAAGAGCTCAACCTCGGGAATGAGGTATGAAAATAAGGAGATAAGGGGTGTAAATACTATACAGGAAACAAAAATGCTGCTTCTTTTTAATAGATGATACAGCTTTGTGCTGCTAAAGTCCAAACAGATCAACTAAAAATTAGGGTATTTTAAGGTGGTCAACTGTGAAATTATCTACAAGAATCAGTCACTTTTGTATCATTTGTAAAAATTTGATGTGTATGAATGTATTGCCTGCATGTCTGTAAGCGTATCTATGTTGTACAGTGCCTGCAGAGGTCAGAAAAAGGTGTCAAATCCCCTGAAACTGGAGTTATAGATGGTTGTTAGCTGCCATGTGGGTGCTGGGAATGGAACCCAGGTCTTCTGCAAGAACAGCCAGTGCTCTTAACTGCTGCCCAAATTTTTGTATCTTAATATTACCTGCTTTGGAAATATATTGGATACTGAGGGCACAGCTCAGTATAGAGTGTTTGCTTAGCATGACATGATATGCTAGGCCCCAACACTGCAAATAACAGTGATGATATAACAACAAGATACTATACACAAATTCATCAAAATCATAAACATTAAGCAGACATCATTATTTTTAAAATATTTTTGTGGTGCTGGGAATTGAACCCAGGGCCTCACATGTGCTAGGCAAGCACTCTACCCTTGAGCTACATTCCCAGTCTTTTTCTTTACATTGTATTTTGAAACAGGCGCTCACTAAGTTGTCCAGCTGGTCTTAAGCTTACTCTGTAGCCCATACAGGTCTTGAATTTGTTTTCCTCTTGTCTCAGCTTCCTGAGCAGCTGGGATGACAGACCTGTGCCACCAAGCCCATCTTAACTAGAAAGCTTTCAACAGCCTTGTAACCTAGGCCAATCCACTATCTAATTAATTGGGCAGATGTGGAGTGGAGCCCAGTTACCTGGTTTTGTAAAGCCCTCTGTGGAGAGCCAGGAGCAGATAAAGTTCAGGGCATTGTGGGTGAGGACACATTCTAGGGAGTCTTGCTATCCTCAGCAGAGCACTTGCTTGAGACCAGAGGGTAAGAATGGTCCTGAAGTCCCGCAGAAGAGCAGCAAGGCATCAGTCATCTGGTGGATACCTGGGGTTGAACCAGGCCCGGGTATGGGCCTCACCTCCACAACATGTGGCTCTGGTTTTGTCCTTTTCAGGGCTACAGAACAGGCTACACATACCGCCACCCCTTTGTCCAAGAGAAAACTAAACACAAAAGTGAAGTGGAGATCCCAGCCACAGTCACAGCCTTTGTGTTTGAGGAGGATGGAGCCCCAGTGCCTGCCCTGCGCCAGCATGCCCAGAAACAACAGAAGGAAAAGACCCGCTGGCTCAACACACCCAACACCTACCTGCGAGTGAACGTGGCAGATGAGGTGCAGAGGAACATGGGCAGTCCCAGGCCCAAGACCACAGTAAGATGGGGAGGCCAGGCCAGCCTGTGCAGAAGTGGAGGGCGGTGCATGTGAGGGGGAGCAGGCTGTGTACTTTACTTCCCAGACTCCCACAGGCTGTGCTTGGGCCCTGGAGCCCCTGACCATCCCTTTCTTGCCCCCCAATGCTGAGATATGGAGTATGAAGGGCAAATTTCCCCAGAGGGCAGGGGGCCAGGCTGCTTTCATCAGCATAAGACCCAGGGGAGACTGGGTTCTGCATTTTAGTCTCCCATCCAGAGAGGGTTTCTGGGAAATTCCTGGAAGGGGTATCCAACACTGGGCTCTGGATCTGACACAAACCCAGGAAGTAGACAGGATGGTCACTTGTATCAAGTTAGCGTCTCTCTTTTCCCATTTCCTCACTCACATATACACAGACAGACTCTATGTGGTTTGGGTTTTTTTTTTTGGTTTTTTTTGTTTTTTTTTTTGTTTTGAGACAAGGTTTCCCTGTAGCCACAGCAGGCCTGGATTCACTAATGGAGACCAGGCTGGCCTCAAACTCACAGAGATCCTCCTGCCTCTGCCTCCCGAGTGCTAGGATTAAAGGCTTGCGCCACCATGCCCAGCTTCTTTTTCCATACTTTTTCTTGTGAATGTGTATGCATTTTCTTGCATGTGTGAGTACACATGCTTTTGGAAGCTCAGGGTTGATGTCAGGAATCATCCTGATTACTCTTCCACTTTGTTCACTGAGGCAGGGTCTCTCAATCAAACTCAGAGATCACCAATATGTCTAGTCTCTCTAGCCAGCTGAATGATAGATAGGTGGGCCACCACACCCACCAGGCATTTATGTGGGTTTAGGGGATCTGAACTCAGGTCCTCATGTTCATTCCATAAGTGTTTTAACCACTAAACCATCTTCCCTTCCCCACTCTATTTGATTTTTTTATTCACAAGAAAGTGGCTGCAGCCAAATGGAATAGTTCTCCATCAAAATTCAAAGTCCAGTTAGCTGAAACTGAAGCCTGGTAGTAGCCTGTCCAAGGTGATTGCCAAGGTTCTGTCCCCTACTCTCCAGCTTTTTTTATAGCCTAAGGGCCTTCCTTGACAGCCGGGTCACCTGTCTTTGCTCTGGGAGACAGACTTCAAAGAGATGCAATACTAGAGAAGAGCTCTGCCTGGTCTGCTCACCTTTCATACTGGTGGGTGGGCCCAGACCTCCCAGTGAAGCTCTGGGAGGTTGTGGGCCTTACTCTCCTGACCTACTTGACCTTGTCTTCTCAGTGGATGAAGGCTGATGAGGTAGAGAAGTCTAGCAGTGGCATGCCCATACGGATTGAAAACCCAAACCAATTTGTGCCTCTCTACACTGACCCCCAAGAAGTGTTGGACATGAGGAACAAGGTGAGGCTTCAGATATCACTTGCTTCTCCCACAAGGAGACCAGGGGTCCCAGAAACACAAGCCAAGTTCCCAAGGTGGGGGTCAAATCACCATCACCCCTAATGTGATACCACATAGGGACTCTGTTCTGGGCACTGTGCTGGATTTAGGTGGTCCTGTGGTCCTCGGTAACCTGTATATGTTGGAGATACTTGCTTTACACAGTGGTGGTGTCTGAAATACCCACAAAATGCCTTCTTGTGAATCCCACATTGTTTTCCTTTTGGCTTATTTTAATGGTTTAGAGATCTTTACAATTTATTTCAGGATCTTTTCTGGGCAGTCCACTAGCTTCTGTTTCTAATGTCCCTTTAAGGACTTGAGTTGTGGTATACCACCTCCAGTAATTCAGACCCTGCCCACTTCATGCACCATGCAGGGCTCAGGCTCCTCTCAGGCCACCCTGCACCATGGGCGCTAGATCAGTAAGTGTGGAAAAAGGTCGGGGAATCTGTGTGTTACTCAAACAGCTTGGGGCTTCTTAAGACTATTAGAATTTGAGGTCCCCCCTCCAGGATCCACTGTGTCTCCTTCCCTTGACACCTCTTGCTGCCCCACTTAAGAGCTAATGAAACCCAGAGCTTTCCATGAGCCTCAGGAACAGGCAGGGAGGCATCTTCCAGGGTGGGCAGACAGCTGAACACTGGAGAACCTTCCATACCCATTACAGGCCTCACTGGACCTGCAATGCTCTGAGCCCTCTCTCTCCCCCTTTCCACACAGATTCGAGAACAAAACCGACAAGATGTGAAGTCAGCAGGACCTCAGTCCCAGCTCCTGGCCAGCGTCATCTCGGAGAAGAGCCGGAGCCCGGTACAGCAGACGCCGCCCCCAGCTGAAGGGGCAGCATGTCTGCCTCCTGGGACTGGGCAATGGGACCCCTGAGTCCTCAGGCCCACCTGTCCTGGAATCTTGGGCACCAGGGCTCTTGCTAAACAGTGGAGGGCCACCATACAGAGGGATGAAAGGTCCAGGGAGGACAGTGTTGGCTCATTACTGTGGGCACTGGGTGGGGAGCAACAAGCAGCCCAGCTGCTCATGGAAATGCCACTGGCTGGCCCCTGCCTCCCACTGCGGGGCTCCCCAAGGCCCTCTCTCAGTGTCTTGCCAAGGGCTGCTGGCCTGAGTGTTTCTGACCTCTGAATTGGATGTGTGGATGTGGCATCATCTGGCCAAAGCTCTGGGGCAGTGAGGGGTTTGCGCTGGTCACAGGATGGGTCAGGTACTCCTATGGGATGGATACAGTGCTAGGTTCGCATAAACCTAGGTAGAATTAGAAGGCATGAAGTCACTGTTTCCATGCTTGAGACAGAATGGCGTCTTGTCTAGAGCTTAGCAGCAAAGTGATGTGGTGATTCATGGCTACTCATGGCTCATGGCAAAGGGCATACCACTTTCCTTGGCAGTAAATGGGCAGTGCTAGACTCATATCTCTACAAAGCAAATTTCCATGGTGTGACGGTTTAGACAGTTTCAGTTTAGGCAGCAGCAGGTGGAGGTCACTGGCAAAAGGGCAAACATCCCACCCTCATACCTGACTCCTGACCTCCCCAGCTCAGCCAAGTGGGGAACTCCAAACACACCACAGGGTCAAAGTTAGAGATGGCCTGGGATTCCAGACAGTAAAAGTAGGCACACTGAGCAGAACTGTTAGAAAAGCAATTCTCTTTCACACCAAGTGCTCTCATTGGAGTCCTTCCCCCTTGGGATCTCACTCCTTGTTGACGCTGAGACTCCTTGCAGTAGACTTGTAGCTGCCTCCCTTGTGAATAGAGTCTACAGCTTGCCACCAGAAGCCTAGACTGGCTCTGGGCTCACCTCCTGGGTTTCACTCTGCTCTGCTTCTCCAGAAGCAAACATTGCATTCTCAAAGGCCAGGATGAGGAGGCTGACTAGGAAAAGGGCAGTGGGGTTTGCATTTCATTCCCCACTTTGGGCAAGAGGTGCCAGAGGATTCTTTGAACTTACAAGTGTCCAGTCAGGGGCCCCTCAGAGGTGGCAGAACAGAAGGATTCGGTCAATGTCCCTGCATGGGCCTGCAGAACAGGCAGCTGATGAGCTGAGTCACTGGATCTTGCCCCTTGGTCATTTATGACTACAGAACAGGACTCACCACACGGACTGAGAATGCTGGAGATGCTGTGTCTTGCTATTTTAATGCTGTATGTTGTGGCTTTCACTGCTGTTGGGGGACAGGGCGGGGCATGGGGATGTGGCATGACGCTTACTCTAGCCACGCTATGCTTGCTGGGCTTTGGCTGACTGACTTGGGGCCACCAACTGTATTTGCATAGTTATGGCTTGAAAGTGTCCATAAGAAGGACTGCAATAAAGGTGTGTCTTCTGCTTGGGAGCATCATTTCTTTCAAGGGTAAAGGGTGGGCCCCTGTATTCACCAGGGCAGTTCCAAAGTCTAAGTGTGGGAAGAGATAGCAACGGGGGGAATGAACAAACCCCACCCAAAGGCCCTAAGCTTGGCTCCAAGGAGCTGCATGCCATGTCCCTAGCAAGACAGCTGGCTGCCACCTGAGTCTGAGAGGATGCTCCGGCCTGCGGCATTCAGAGAACAACACACACTCTGGTTAACTTTCAGTCTACAGAGAGCCAGCTGATGTCCAAGGGTGATGCAGATACCAAAGATGAATTAGAGGAGACGGTACCCAACCCCTTCAGCCAACTCACCGACCAGGAGCTAGAAGAGTACAAGAAAGAGGTGGAAAGGAAGAAACTGGAACATGAGCAGGATGGTAAATAATCCTGAGGGCCATGGCTCTGGGACCTCCCGGGAGAGCTCAGATCCCAGTAAAGAGATAAATAGTATTCCTATTAGCAGGATACAGCTCAGCAGGACTGTGCCAAGTGGCCTTGAGTCTCACAGTGCCTTCTGACCTCACTGACCCTGCTCAGCTGGGTGTGAAGGAATTAGTACTTGTAAAGTAATTAGAACCATGCTTTGATGGAGAAGGTGGATAAGCCCCAGGTAAAAGGGAGCTGTAGCCTTTGGCTAGACACATGGATTCTTAAAGAAATATACAGTGTGGGGGGGGGCACTATGGGAGCGTGCTATTTGGGATGCAGGTATAAAGATGAATAAGATTATTTGGGATGTTCTATATGAAACAAAAATAAAATAAATGAAAATAAATGAAAAAAACAAAAATTACATGAAATTCATAAAAATTCAATAAACTTTTTTAAAAAGGGGAGCTGTAATGAGACAGGTGTGAGAGTCACAATTATCACTAACAACCATAAGGTCTGAAGTAAACCCACCAACCTGGCAGCCAGGACTCTATCAACTGACACCTCCTTCCTTCCTTCAGGGTCTAGAGTCCAGCCAGTTTCACTATGTTGAGACATTACTCAACTGTGTTGGGTCATGCTGTTGTTCATGTTTCCTTTCTAGGCTAGCCTGATCCAAGTCATCCACAGTACAGTAATCCCCCTCCAGCTAGGAAGGCATCTTCTCACCCTTCTACTCCTCCCAAAAGAGATGTCTTGTCTTCTTGCTTCAAGAGCACCTGAGGTCTGAGACTCAGTAGGCTAAACCACCATTCATCCAAAGCAGGGGCCCTCCACCACCACCTCCCCCAATCCCGGGTCAGACATCTTCCCAAGCACTGAACAGAATGCTTCCTGCTTGGCTTCGAGTTCGGTTGTATCAAATGAAAAAATAGAGTGGTGTGCACTTTTTACCCTAGGGATTTTTTTGGAGAGAAAGTAAAAATTAGCTAAGTTAGCTAATAAATTAGCTACATGCCAAGTCTTACGTGTTCCTAAACAGAGTCAGTGGATGTGGGGGCCTACACTCCCAATCCATGGATGTACTCTGTGGCTGGTCCTCTTCAGAGACACCAGAAAAGCCAGGCTCTGCCTGCCCTCATGGGTCTCCTGCCATTTTACTTCCTTATCAGGTGTAGTACAGCCCATGTGGTAGACAAGAAGCAGCGTTACTCTGACAGCTCCCTGGAAATAGCGGAGATAAGCCCAGCTTAGAAGGGCTTGCTGTCTCAGTCAGGAGAAATGAAGCTCCCCCACCCCCTGGCCTCTCTGTGACTTTGTGCTGAGGTGTGTCTCTGTATTTTCAGGAGAGAAGGAAACAGCCAGTGAAGAGCCTGGCTCACCTGTGAAGTCCACACCCGCTTCCCCAGTGCAGAGCCCGGCAAAGACAGAGACAAAAAGCCCTGCAGTCTCTCCCTCAAAGTCTGCAGAGGGTGAGTGGAACTGAGTGAGCTGTAAAAGATGCCTGTGTGGGAGGTAGGGTGGTTCTGAACACGGCAGGGACCTGCCCTTCATGGTTCCCTGGGGGCAGCTCCACTACCATTAAGAACTCTTCCCCTCTGCTGGTGCTAGGGAATCTGAGCTACTTTGAATTTTCCCATTTGCAAACTATGACAGTATACCTCACAACTAACACCCTGCAATCAGAGGGGAAGACTGGCTCATACCCTCCCTACCTACACCTGAGGCTGGCTGAGGCTCTAGCCTTGTTCTCAGGCTCAGATATGGATAAAGATCTCTCTTTTTTTTTAATTTTTACAAAAACTTTATTGAGAATTTCATACATGCATATAAGGTGTTTTGACCAAATCCATGCCCACCCCTTCCCCTCCAATATTCCCCCCTCTGAAGAGGTAACCCTAAAATCTTTTAAGGATCAGGTACAAGCTTCCAAATACTTTAGACATTTTTGGTCTTTGGAACAGAGTATGTTGCTAACAGGCCCAAGGACATTTTGACTTTTAGCCAAGAAACTGGCTACATTTCTCTGGGGTCTTTTTACCCTAACTGCCTAGCCAATTCCTACCGCCTATTCTTATCATACCTCCTCTCCTCTGAAGGGGTTACCCAAATTGTCAATAGGGAATAGGGACACAGACCGCTCTGGCGTCTTCCTTGCTGAACAGGGGACTCAGGGTGAGGCAATTGGAGTATCCCTTCAGTGGGTCTATCTAAAAGACTCCCAGATTGCATAACTCTTGTCTCTAAGGGGAGAAGAAAGTCCTTGAATCATGAATGGGAGATGTGAAGGAGAAGTAAAGGCAAGAGTAATTAGCATTACAAGTTCTAGACAGGGAACTAGAAAAAAGTCAGAACAGGGCAATTTTCATATGTTCATATGAGAGTCCATTGGAGTTTCTTGACAAGGGCTTCCAGAAGCATCCCTCTATTGGGTTCTTCCTCATTTTTCTTTTGTCTTCCAAGGCTGGATTAGTTGGCTGGGAAGAGTGGCCGGATACTCAGGTGAGGGTCCAGTGACCCTGCTTGGCACTCCTTTAATGAATGAGCACAACTGTCAACAAGCCCAATTTTGGCTATGTTTAACTATCAGGATCAGCCAAAGACGTGATGATGGTAGTTATTTCATGCAGGAGGTGGATAAGGATCTCTTTAAAATGAAGGTTCTGCTCCATCAGGTCTGGGATGTGGCCTGAGACTCTGCGTTTCCCGGGAGGCTAATGGAGTCACCTCAGCCTTAACTGCACATTGGAATCACCTGGGGATCTTTGGTGGTCCTGGGTCCTGGAGCCCACCCAAAGCATTTCTATGTTAAATGGTCTGAGGTCTGGATTAGGGGCTGCAGCCTGAGACAGTAAAACCTCTCCAGGATACTCTAAAGATCAGGCTAAGAACAGCTTTATTAGAGAGATGCTAGTCTAGACAACTAGATTCTGGGCCCAACTGAACTTCTAAATTTAGTAAGTCAGAAAAACCCCACCCTGCCTCAGTTTCCTTGTGTGTCAGATGGAGTTATTCATGTGCCCCCTTGTTTAGGTTTTCATATGTCCAAGGGAAATGTTAATGACAACATACTTAGAAGGAGTGAGAATGTGATTTAAATGGAGGACCTAATTATTAAGATACTATGGTGGGCGCCTAATTATTAAGATACTGCTGTGGGCGCCACTTCAGGGTGCCGCTGCACATCTCAGGTGTGTCCCCAGTAAGCCTCACCAGAGAGGGCTACTCTGTCATTCAGAGAGTGGCCTCTTTGTGGCCTGCTGGGATCTCCTTCCTGAGTGGAGTGGTTACCTGTGTGATTCTCATAGCACCTCTTCCCTGAGCACCCTCCCCAAGAGAATCAGCCTTGCACACAGGCCCAGCCTTGCAGGAGGACACCCATCTGCTTGAGGCCAGAGTCGCAAGTAGATGTCCCTCTCTCCCCTCCACCAGCCGTCTTTGTTCATTGTGTGTCATCGTGATTTGTCATCAACTCCACAATGTCTTCCTCTCTCTTCCCGTTTTTGCCTTCATCAAAGGAGTTTCCTCTGATTCTGAATATTTGTCTCTGTAGTAAGTATAGAGAGGCCGCTTACTAACTCACCTGGCTCTCAAAACGGGGAGGGAGTTTTTCAAAAGAAATATATTTCCCTCAAGTTTTCTTTTGCAACTCACAGCCTTGCCTTTGAGAAGTCTCCTGCTTGTAAAATTCACTGCCAATCCCACCTGTGCTGTGCATGGGCTAGGCTTCCTCTAAGAGACGTGGACACACACACACACACACACACACACACACTCCAATTCTACCTGCTCTGTGCATGGACTAGCCTTCCTCTAAGAGATGTGGACATGCACAGAACATAAACATCCATGCCATACACATACATCCAAAGCAGCAAGCCCCACAGGGAAGGGAAGCAGGCTGCTCCATGCCCCTGCATGAGAGTACCTTAACTGACAGGAACTCATCACTGATCCTGCTTCAACACTTCTAAGGAAGCTGTGGCTTCTTCTCAAGCTGTGGGCCAAGTCTTAAAGTACTTTGGGGGGCTAGCTGCCTCCTAGAGGTATGCACAGGACCTGACCTGCTTCTCTCTGTTAGCACAGGTATGTGGGCTGCAGGAAGAAAATGCAGGGCTGGAAAGAGCCTTATGGCAGGAGGGGTTCAATGTGAGATATTCCTATCAGCACCTAAGAAAGGCAGAAGGCAGGAGGAGCTGGGACAGAACATCTGTTTCCTTACCACTGGACATCACACTCTGTAGCAGGAATCCTACAGGTTCTCTCTGGTCCAAATTCATACCCCTGCTAGGGCCCACTGCACTTGAGTTGTACAATAACAGAAGTTAGGTGTTCTCTGGACACTATATGTGCCACAGACAGAGCCTGGGAGCATGGTTACCTTGGTGCCGTGTAGTGTGGGAGTGAGCGGCAGTGGAATGGGGCTGGGTGAACTGGACCATCTCCTCAGGGCAGACAGGGTGTACACCTGCACAGCAGCTGTGATCTCACGTGCACTGTACCTATCAGATCAGGGTGGCTGTTTCCAGCCGTCTGTCACTGTGTTCCAGATCCTCTTGTGCCAAGTCTCGGTAATGTCATTTATCATCTGTGTCCCCAGATCCAGCCTATCAGCCTCTCTAAGGAGACTCCTTCCACTGCCTCTTCCACATCTGGTCACCACACCATTTCCTTCTTGTGGACTAGGTCCTGAGTGACCCTGCCCTTGCTGACCCCAACTCCCAGGGAGCCTCCAAGGCTACCAGCCGAGCTGCAAAGAAATAGCCAGTATTTCACATCAGATGGTCACTAAATAATATAGTTATTTCAGATAAGCCACTTGAAAACACTGCAGAGGGCTGGGGAGATGACTCAGTGGGTAAAGTGATTATTGCACAAGCACAAGGACGAGAGCTCAGATCCCTGGAACCACGTGAAATCCAGGCAGGCATGGCAGCACCCTGTAATCCCAGCATTCAAGAGGCAGACACAGAGAATCCCCAGGACAAGCTGGTTAGCTAGTCTGCAAGTTATGGCTTCAGTTGAGACTGACTCAGTAAACAAAGTGGGGACCCCACATGCATGTACATCTGCGCACACACATGTGAACATGCACAACACACACATGTGCATGCACACACAGAACACTACAAAATGAGGGAATAGCATTCCCAGCACTGTTACCAGGATAAAATAAGCTGAGGAACATAACATTTGCAATGTGTTCACATAGTTTCGTTCTTATTTTGGACCGCGCTCTTCAAACTGTGAGAACTCGTACATGCTGCTGCAAGGCTCCAAGACTGAGCAGCACAGCATGAATTATTCCATAGTAAGAACTCCTTATGTAGGAATTACTCCTGTGAATTGGCTGGAGTTTGGCTTAGTGTAACGGATCTTCAACACCATGTGATATCAGCCAAGGCTGTGACACAGTCAGCTTGCGCCCTGACAAGGCAGGACTTCCCAGGTAGAGCGTGAGTGTGGCTGGCACCTTGGCACAGAAAAGCAGGGCTCACTCTAGACACAGGATAGGTGGATTAATCACTGTCTCTGTGTCTCTGTGTTTCTCTCTTCCTTTCCCCACCCCTTCTCTCTCCATGTGTGCCTTCTGCATGTCCATTGGGGTGGTTGGACTTGATGGTGACCTAGGAATCCCTAGAGGATTCAGTGTGTGAGAGTCTTCATGAACCCATCAACACTTGGAGGCTCTGTGTCTAGGGCCCAGGCTCTACCACATGTAGCAGTTGTCCTAGTTTGTTTCTCCATTGCTGTGACAAAACACTCTGACCAATACCAACTTGGGGAGGAAAGGGTTTATTTGGTTTACATCTCCTGGGTCACAGTTCATCAGGGAGCCCAACGTAGGAACTTAGGGCAGGAACCTGGAGGCAGGAGCTAGAGCACAGGGCATGGAGGAATGCTGCTTACTGGCTTGTTCCCCCGAACCATGCTCAGCCTGCTTTCTTATACAACATAGGCCCACCTGCCCAGGAGTGGCACCACCCACAGTGGGCTGGGCCCTCCCACATCACTCAATAATCAAGACGATACCCCACAGACCTGGCCACAGGTCAGTCCAATGGAGGCAATTCAGCAACTAAGGCTCCCTCTACCCAGGTGTGTCAAGTTGACACCAAATCTACCCAGCACAGCAGTATATTCAGGTACTGAGGGGAACTTTGATGTCCCAACCATGGAGAGCGAGTGCAGGTGTGAGGAACATGCATTCCAAACCCAAGTTTTCCAGAGTGCAGCAGATGGGCCTTTTATGTCAGAATGCCCCAAAGACTTGTTAAAAACAGAGATTTAGAGGGCTGGGGATGTGGCTCAAACCACACACACACACACACACACACACACACACACACATGTGCCCTAAGTCTTAAGTTGGATGCGGGGGGTGGGTCACACACCACACACACACACACACACACACACACACACACACACACACACACACACACACACACACACACACACTTTGTGGTCCACTGTCTACTTCAGAGCCTGTTATGGAAAAAGACTGCATTTGCACAACTTGAATCTCAGTGATTCTTTCAGACACTAGTGTTTGAGAATTTAAACCAGGACAAAAACTGGACCACAGAGCTCTGCCTGCTAGCCTTCCCCTCACCAAGACCCCTGAGGAGGTTCTGCTTGCTGGTCCTCTGTTCCCTGCTCTGTACTTTGAGCATCTCCTGGTGCTTCCTGCTAGCTGCTGCATGCTCCCCCAACCCTATCAGCATTGATAATGGATCATGCTTTTTCCTGATCTTCACCAAGCCTTTCCTTGGCTTCTGTATGCCGTGGTGAAGAGCGGCCTTTTAAATGGGGAGAAATAGAGGCTGTTCATGGCAGTCCAAGTCCTGCACTGGGATCTAGTCTGGTTTACCTTGAATTCAGAAGTCAGCACACCTTCCAGGCCCACCACTGCTGTCTCCCTTGCTGCAAGAAGGCCTCTCTAAGTGGCGGGCTGGGCCAGTGGTAATGTGCCTAACCCAAGGAGGAAAGGTGAGGCAAGGTCCAAAGTCCTCTACAGATGCATCAGCTGCTAGATGCATAGTGTCCCCTGTGGAGCCTGCATCTGGCCTCTCACAGTGTCCCCTATGGAACTGGCATCTGGCTTTACATAGAGAAAGACTTAAGTGTGTTGTCACTGAACTGGGGGCAGAAGTGAAAGACAGTATCTATTCTGAATGGAGAATAAAAAACAACACATGCCAATATAAAATGAACATGTGGCAGGAGGTTTAGAGGAGGGCAAGGCCATTGTCAATGCCAGGGGAAGCTGCACTGACAGTGTAATGGTGTAACTTGAGCCAGATTTTAGGGAGATACAGAGATAGGAGATAGGAGAGGGTTGGGCTGCATGGGAATGGAGGCCAGCAAGCTGGGGAAGCAGCTTCCCTGGAAAGGGACTGAAGTAGAGCTCCCCAGAGAATCAGAACCAAGAGGAAGGCACATGTAGACACATGGAAGGAGGTGTTACCTCTCATGACTGTGGAGGCCAAATGAGTCCCCATAGTGTCTGCAAGCTGTAAACCAGGAGAGCTGGTATATAACTCATTCTCAGTCAGAAGGCCTGGAACAGGGATGCCAGCATGTGGGAGCAGAATAGGGATGTCCCAGCTCAAGGAGAGGGAGTTCTTCCTTCCCCTACTAGTTCTGTTGGCCCTGATGGGACAGCTGATACCCATCCATTGACGAGGTAGATTTGTGCGCTCACCTCCACAGCCCAGAACTAACCTCTTCCAAAAATGCACATGCACATATATACATACCTACATCATACACACATGCTTACCTTGCAACCTCACACCACACACACATATTCAGCATACGTAGTACACTGAGGCACAAACCTCACACAGCAGCAGGCTTTCAGGTGGGAAGCTCACCGAGGCTGAAGCTGGGACCTGAGCCTGACCTGCACAGCTCTCAGGTCTGAGAAGTGCGATGGGGAGGAGGGAACCAAGTGGTCTTCGCATTTTTTTCTACTTTTCAAACCTGTGCTTTAAAAATTTCCCTCCTCTCTCCTCACCTCAAAGCTTGCATGGAAGCCAAGTAGGAATGACGACCAGAAGAGAAGAGGCAGATGAGGACTTTAATGTCCAGGGTCTGAGCAGCACTGCCCTTGAGTGTGGGGCCTAGAGATCGCAGGTAGAACAGAGACCTGAGCCCTGTTGGCCACTAGAACAGAAAGACCCCTTTGGGCTGGCCTTTCTACTATGGAAATGTAGGGTTCTTCCTGGTTCCCCAAGCTCCCTGCTGTGTAGGGTGTGAAGACATGAGACCCCCATGTTTTTATTGATGTAACTGGCTGCTTATGACAATGCCACCACTGAGGTGATCATGACATGCACCCAGTGCTCCCACTCCTTAACTGTGCCTCCTCATTCTGTGCCTAGAAGTACTTTGAATTAAGTCTCTGCTAGGCCCCTGGCCTGTCCAGACACTAACATCTGTTTAAATATGTAGACAGGACCCTAGAGTTACCACCTGCCCAGGGCACGCTCCCTAGGACAGGGCATATTCAAGAAGTGTAAGGTAAGAGCCCCTCCTGTACTCCGAGAGCCCTGCTCCCACCCCACGCCAGCCTGCCACCCCTGCTCCAGACTCCTCAGGATAACTGTCTAGAAGTGGTTCTGTTGTACCCCACAGACAACTCACCTGCAGAGGCTCTTACAGGCTGTGCCCTCTGATCTCTTCCTAGATGCCAAGAAGACAGAAACCCCTGAAGCCACCACAGAGCCCGAGCCAGCCAAACCAGAAGGGGCGGTGATAAATGGAAGGGAGGAAGAGCAGAGCGCCGAGGAAGTCCTCAGTAGAGGCCTGGGCCAGATGACCACCAATGCTGACACAGACGTCGACAGCTCCAAGGACAAAACCGAGTCAGTCACCAGCGGCCCCCTGTCCCCAGAGGGCTCACCCTCCAAGTCACCCTCAAAGAAGAAAAAGAAATTCCGAACCCCCTCCTTCTTGAAAAAGAGCAAAAAGAAGGAGAAGGTGGAGTCCTGATTGGCAGCTAGGCAGGCTCCCACTGCATCCTTACCCTCCTTCCCTGCCCTTCTCCCAATTCTGCCCCTGGAGCACAGGGCCAAGGAGAGGTAGAGGAGGACCTGGGAACACACTCAGAGGGGAACCTAGAGATTACCTGGCCAACCCTTCACTCCAGTTACCCCAGAGCACCAGATGGCTTGCCCAAGGTCACAACTAGCTGGCAACAGGGCCTGCCCTAGAGCTGGGCCTCCCATTCCCGACGCCCATGGTCAGGCTCTCTCCTCTATACAACACTGCCTAGTCCAGGGCCACCTCTGAGTAAGGTCCATCTCTTCCCAGGAACCCCCTGCTGCTGGACCTGTCTCCACAGAAAGAAGCCCTGCTTCTCGTCCATTTTGGGTCCTTCCCTTACCGCTCAAAGTAACCAGGCGTTTCTGAATTGTCCCCGCCAATAGAAGTTAATCTCTATTCCCCGGGCTGATGGCTTAGCTTGTTCTTCCCTAAACACTGACCCTGAGCTTTCCTCATGGAACCTCTTGAGTGATGGATGGAAGAGCTCTAAAAGCTGACAGCCTGATGGGTGGGGATGGTTTAACTGGTCTAGGAGCCCAGGAACCTGGCCTGTCTGTACTGTGCATCTTAAGTGCTTCAAGACTAAACCGAGTTATAACATAAGGAAAGGTTTTATACTCAGGGCAGAAGTTTTGGCAAGCCTGAATCCTGTTTTGAGTTGTACAGGAGGAGAAGACACCGCTTTAGCTTTGCATGGTGTGCAGGGCTACACCTGCCTCTCTTGTCTGGCAGCCAGGTGCCCTAGACCTTCCCACACAACCAGGAGCACATGCCCTCACCTCAATTGTGACTCTTTTGGGTTCCCAACTCCAAGTCACAGTAGGTCCAGCAGAGGAGGGTCAAACATATGTCCTTCCGGAGCCATTCTCTTGGACTAACCCTCAGAGAAATGCCTGGGTATCCCCAGCCCTGTCACACTCTGCCCATCTCAGGGCCTGGTAATAGGCACAGCTTTTATTGTAAATACCAACGCTTATCCATATTTCTTCCACAGGGCATTGGTTAATGAACACTGTTGACTCTGAGACAATCCAATCTCTTTAATGCACAGTGTCTTCAAAGAGCATTTCTTCTTTTAGTCCTGATTATTGTAAAAAAAAAATTTTTTAATTCCTGACTGAGCACCATTTTCCATTTGTAGACACTGCAGGCTTTACCCTCTGCCCTCAAAATAATCCCGTGGGGTGGCTAAGATTCTTCCCATTTTATAATAAGGAAACTGAACCTCCAATATGGATAACTGACTTGCTGAGCAAGATCTGATGTCTGGATTTGAACCCAGATCAGCCTGAGCTCTGATCCTTACTCTTCCCATCTGTACTGAATAGACAGCTTTAAACCCCAAGAACAGTGGCCTCAGTCCATTAGCTATTCCTGCAGCTGGTCTTGCTGCATGGTGTTAGTGCTTGAGATGAAGGCAGAGCCCATCCTCGGTGGTACAGGCTCAGCTCCAGTCAATGTGGGGAATGGTGTCAACAGAGGCCAAAACCCACTATTTTGTGGTTTCTTGAGTAAACAGACCTACAGCTAAGCTCAGTGCTGAAAACCTAGTACAGGCCTCATTTCTGTTCTGCTTCCTGGTTGGGTCAAGTCTTATGATGGATACCCTAATGGCCAGGCACATGAATGTCCAGCAAGGAACTGTCTTCAAAGGCCAAGCCTTTGATGTTTTCTTAAATATAGATCTCGTACATAGCCATTCACCCTTCCTTAATATTGGTTAAGCATCCATATTGTGTCAGACATTGTGCTGACATTAAAAGACATAGGAATCTATGCCCTAGGAGGCAACGTTTTGTGTGGGAGTGGCCACTGCTCAGAGATGATGTCCATCCATCGACTGCTCAGCGTGCTCTTTTTAATCCCCATACAACAGCAAGGCTTGTTCAGGTTAAAACACCAGAGCTTTGCCAGAGTATCATCCATGGAATCTAGGCCATGAATTCAGCTTGGGTGACAGGTGGCCATGAGGGTAGGACACAGATTCAGCCCTCAAGGGATCTGTGAGCATGAGAAGCTCACAGAATGGGCAAAGCACACAGGGGGCCTAGGGCAGCAAGGACTGACCATCCGACCATGGTATGGAGGGCAAGGAGACGTTCCTGAAAATAGATGGCTAAGTTATGTGTTCAAAACAAACTTCCCAGAGAAACAAGAATCAGCAGGGAGTTCCAGGATAAGGGAAGAAGATGGACAGATATAGAACCATGGAACTCCATGCTGTGTCCCACTGGGCCTTGTGGTGTGAAAGGCAGGGAGCGGTTCACATCACAGGTAGACAGTGCTGGATCATTAGGGTACTCACAGACAACATGAGAACCTGGATCTTACCATGTCCCTGCCCCCAAGGGCTGTTAATTAGGGTAGAATCATTCATAGTCACGTTTTGTAGAAGCATCCCTGTGGCCGAGAGGAAGGCTCAGTACCGGAGTACTAGAGATGTGATGGGGCTTTACAGCGAGGCAGTGTAGAAGCCCATTTGATGGCCACACTCACTCTGCACTATACTCCATAAAACCAGTGAGTTCCCAGCCCAGAATTTCTTTCATAGAATTTTTTTGGCTAAAACATCTTGAAGGTTTTCAGTGAGCCAATGCTAAATGCACAGTTTCAGGTCCTATTTTGCTTTGGGGTGAGATCACAGGAGAACTGTGGAACATTCTGCCAATTTCCTTCTTTGTACACAAAGGATGTGATATGCACAGCTCCAAGTGCCATAGAAACAGATACATAGTCCAGACAGGTCCACCACCTGGGCATTTCTTTGGCTCTGCATTAAAATTGGGTCAAGGTTCACTGGCAAGGAGTGTTTGTGAGCTCAGAATTTACAGATGTCAGCTCGTTTCTAGCCTAGCCACTGTGCTCAATACTGAAAAGGATTAAGAAGGTTTGGGCCAGTGTGTTGTAGTGTGGCCAGCTGAGCTAGAAGTGGAGTGGCCTCTCAACCTGTTTTCATGGACAAGTGAGCAGGAAAAGGGCAGAGAAAGATAAGCCTGGCTCCTGTGACATCACACACTAGGAGCAGTTGTGATTTGGGAGAGTCACCCATTCTGTGTGACTTTTCCCAGACTGCAAAGAAAACCAAAACAAACATAAGCAAAAAACTGCCAAGAGAGGTCCTATACCCCCGCCCGGGTTTGGGCTCTTATTAGCTGACCCAACTTCCCAGACTGTGTTTTTTATCTCTAGAAGTTCATTTAGGTGATTTACATTTTCTATAGGGTACAGGTGAAGGTACACCGGGGCTTCATAAAAGACTAATAGAAAATGATAGAAAACCTCTGCCTTCTTAAGCCAGGTTATGTGCATAAAAGGAACCCAGTAAGGAGCGAAAGGTTCATCCTCTTTGGATAGAGGATGTGGGGGATGTGGACATGTCTCTCACAAACCCATTGTAAGGCATTGTAAGCAGTCGTGGTTTGGGAGACCCAATCATGGAGACATACCTGAAATCCTAGCTCCTGAGGGATGGTGACATGGCAAGATGGCAGGCGTTGTTTTGGCACTGTTATAACAGAGTCACCTCACTACTCTTGTCCACATGAAATGCTATAATAGATCTAGAAGTTAGATCTAGTCTAGAAATTTAGTCATGAGTTTGAAGTTTTTAGGACGCGATGAGTAAGAGACAGGACAAGGGCCTCTATAGGCCAATGTGCCAGGCTTTTTCCCAAGTGTGAATCAGTTCTTGACTGTTGGGCAGGTGAAAACATAGCCCTTGCTCACTTACATGTGTGGGTCCACAGACACTCTCGGGTGCTTGGCACAGCTGCAGTCCATCTTGAGCAAAGAGGCCCAAGGTTTCTTACATCTTTCTTCACTGAGCCTAACTGGAACTCTCCAAGAGTACCAAACTCAGAGTCTGAGAGCTCAGGGAGAGGGCAAACCTCCACTGTCCACTCCCACAGAAAAGAACAGGATACCCCACAGCTTAAAACACAGTAGGACATTGAGCCTGTTCCACACATTTTGTGAAGAAGGAAGTAGCCTGAGGGGACTGAAGTTCTTGAAACTGTCCTCCACAGTGTGAAGAGGCACACTCAGTGCTGTAACTGCTTCCCAGAGCCCTGTCTACACAGGAAGTGGCACTCCGTCAGAAATGAGAGGCCACAGGTGGAGCTCCGGCCCCAAGGCACCCCACTGCCTTCTGCTTCACAGGGTAAGCCACCTTGCCCAGCAGTCTACACTCTTTAGTGGAGAAACTCTCCCATCACCTTTATGTTGATGGTACCCTGGGGAAAGTTGGCTTCGTAGAAACATTTAGCAAGACTCTCCATGTGAGATGTCCCCAGAAAGTATGGAAGTCGTGGTCTGCCTCAGTATCAGTTGGCATTAGATTTTTGCCAAATTGATGTCTGTGCCACTTGCCTTCAAGTTTTCCTCAAAAGATGAGCCATCACTTTGAGAACTTAGGGCCCCAGAAAGAAGACGCTCATGATGTAAGGAAGGGCTCGGATGTGGTTGGGCAGAGAAGGCAGAGTCTTCCACAGGAACTAGGTCCTCGACTTCTTCCTTACCACTCTCTCCCAAGCACCAGGGTGAGGCTGGATGGATCCCAAGAACACTTATTTCTTGGGTAGAGATGGCATTGCTAGAGCTCAAGGGATGGTATGAAAGACCTAACTTCCCTTCCACTCCTGCAAACCACCCTGTATAGCTTTTAAAGCCCTTTTAATGTGAATCAAGGTGACAGTTGAACCTAAGCCAGGGAGCCACACTTGAGAAACATCACAGACCCTTCCATAATGGGAATATGTTTTAGGAAACCACATCCCATCATTTCAAGACTCTGTGCCTGTGACTCTTGCTATGTGGATGGTTGATACCCAGGACTGTGCCACCTGTAAATCCCTGTAATCTGCTGAGAGTGCTGAGTCCCAGGGTCCTCCACCCTCTCTGAGAAGAGGCCAGGAGGGATGGTTGTGGCAGGCAAGCAGGTGCTGGGCCTGGCAAGACCCATAGGGTACAGGGCCACAGGAACCCAGGGAGTGTGGTATCTTGTAATGCTGTGGATGGTTTCAGTGAAATATCTGACAGTCGTCATATGAGAGCACGGTTTACTGTCTTCCTTTGTACATACACTGTGTTTGACTTTTCTAGTATTGTGAGGTGTCAAAGAGGGGTTCCATGTAAATACTCTGTATGACATGCCCCACCCCCATCACGCATCATCCCCAAAAATGGTTCTGCCTTTCTCTGTGCTAACACTTTAAGCCACTGATGTGTGGGTGGATGGTTAGGCTCTTGGGCTTTTATTTTGCAATTTTTTATATATATACATATATAATATATATTTATGGGTTGGTTTTGTATGGTTTTCTGTTTGAATCTGAGCACCAAAGCTACCCTTTAACTTTCATGAGAACTTTCCAAAGCCACTTCCGGGCCCTTGGGTTGCTTTGGTGTCTGACTATGTTTGGGGTGGACTCTGCCCGTGGGTTTCTGTGTGTGTGCTGTAATTTCACCTGCAGATATTACCCTAGTAAACCAGACGTGCTTGGCTTCCCAGTGTGTGTGACCTGTCTCTATCGACTGCTCTAGTCTACAGGCTTTCTTCGAGGTGGAAGTCAGACAGGAGGCCCATGTATGGAAACATGGACCACACAGGGAACTTTACCTGTTCTCCCTCGTGGAAAGCCGAACACGTGCATTAGTGAGCTCTGACATGGAAAGGAAGATTACAAAACACTAATAGCCTGTGAGAAGGGAAGGCTGCATGAATGTGGCACAGCTATTCAGAGGGTGAAATGGGGCAGATGAGACAGGATGCAGAAACAAACATGGCGTGAATGGTCCTGCTTCTGCAAAAGCAAAGGCCAGAATGGAAAGGGGTATTGGACCAGGCATAAATAAGTTACCCCAAAGAAAGAAAGGTAGTAAGGCTATGGGAGGAAGAAACGGGAAAGAGGCAAGGAACGTGCTCAGTTTGCCCTCTCCTACCTCTTCCTTACTCAGCACGTAGAGAAGAGGTGACCCTGCTCTTTCCACTATTCCCATGGCCCCAGGACCCCAATCAGTGTTCCACAAAAGCTGCCTCTGTCCACAGCCAGAGCCTGCTTCAGGTAGGTCTGCTCCCACCTGGCATCCAAGGTCAGAACCCCACCTTCCTCTGTTCACATTCCCATACCCTGAAGCTCCCCCAGGCTCCTATGAAACTGGTAGCAAGGATCCCAAGGCCCTCTCCTGCCCCAAAGCTATCAGATGGCCCTCTGCTGAAATCACCCAGGAGTGAGTGGGGCAGGTGGGCATGTGTCCCTCAGCTGTGTCATTGAACCCAGTACAGAAGAGGGATATGAGAAATATAGTTAGCTGACCCAAGTCATGGTCACTGAAGGAAATGCCAGCCTGGAAAGGGGCAGAGAAAGAGGTGTTCCAGAAAGCACCTTCCACTCACCCCCGTGAGGAGAACAGGGGCAGAGGGCAGAGGGAGCCTGGGAAATGTGGCTGGACCAAGCCTGGCCTCAGGAACAGTGAACAAAGTGCTGGATTTACCACGTAGCATGGTCTTCTTTCAACTACGATGTCATTAGCACATTTCCCTCCATTTTCATCCTTAATTTTTAAGAAGACCATGGGGCTGGGGAAATAACTTTATTGGTGAAGTGCTTGTGAGAGATCCTGACTTCAATTCCTAGAACCCATGTTCAGTTGATTTGAAAATTAATATAAATAATCAAGGAATGCAATTAAAGAAAATTAGTGAGCAATTACATTCATAGCTGAGTCTAATTTCTCATTAGCAAACTAAACAGAAGCATTTAAAAAGCAGTTATTGGAATATGTATGTTACAAATACTAACGGAGCAGGAGGGAGATAAAATATACTTTGTCATTGAGAAAAGGGATTTAAATACACTATATCATTTTTTAAAATTATTTTAATTTTATGTGTATGAGTGTATTGACTGCAGGTGTATAAGTGCATCCGTGTCATGTAACTCCCGAGGAGGTCAGAAAATGGTGCCTGATCCCCTGGAACTGGAGTTATAGGCTGTTGTTAGCCACCATGTGGGTGCTGGGAATTGAAGCCAGGTCCTCTGCAAGAACAGCCAGTGTTCTTAACTGCTGAGCCATCTCTCCAGCCCCACACACCATTTCATTTTTAAATTGGTAGAAAAGCATTAGTCTAATTACATATAATATGATGAGTCAATTCATCCTTACATATAAATTTATCTGTAGGGAGGCACAAACATTCAGTCCATAGTAGTTGTTTAGCTTGGAAATGACTTACAAAGTTTAAAGGTGATCATTATTAGATGGATATGTAGCTTCCATACCATTAAAAATAACCAAGAAAAATGAATCGAGGGGAGATGGTTCAGTCAGCAAAGCGCCTGCCTCAAAAGTACGAGAATCTGGATTCAGTCCCTACATCCGTATAAAAAGCTGGGTATAACAACAGCACATGTCTGTTAACCCCACTGCTGGGAGGCAGAGACAGGCAGGCCCCTGGGATGCACTGTATGAGCTCCAGGCTCAGTAAGAGTCCCTGTCTCAATAAGGTGGAGAGTGGGGGCTGGAGAGCTGTCTCGGTGGTTAAGAACACTGATTGTTCTTACAGAAGACCTGGGTTTGAATCCCAGAACCCACATGGCAGCTAACAACTGTCCGTAACTCCAGTCCCAGGGGATCTGACAGCCTCTTCTGACCAATGTGGGCATTGCACAGCACTTACTTACATGCAGGCAATACACGCATACACATAAAATAAAAATAATAAAAATTTAAAAAATAAGGTGGAGAATGGTCAAGAAAGACACCCACTTGTCAGCAGCTGGCTGGCCTCCCCCTGTGCACACACATGTACATATACCACACACACACAGGAAGCAGTAAGACAGTATGTATGGGGGAAGAGAGATGAAGCTAAAGACCAATTTCTTACTGGAAACAAAGCCAGTAAGAAGAAAGTAGAATAACATATTTAAAGGGCTGAAGGAAAAACTGCCAACCCAGAAGGTGAGGGCCGGTGAGGTGGTTCATCGGTAGAAACACTTGCCTCTGAGCCTGATGATCTGAGTCCTATTCCCAGGACCCACATGGCGGAAGGAGAGAACTGACTCCTGCAAGTTGTCCTCTGACCTCCAACGTGTGCTCTGTGGCATGTATCTCACCCCCTCCCCAAAACTGTGAAAAAAAAAAAACAAAAAACCCACAAAAAGTTAACTTGCTGTTTTAAAAACATGAAGATGAAATAAACAGGAGAATTAAGAAAAACAGAGAAATTATAATTTTAAATGTGAGGTTTCAACACGCTTCCCTGTCCCCATAGCAAGTAGTAAGAAGTATCCCTATGTAGCACATATGTGACTATAGAGGATGTAATGAATGTAACAATAATAATGTCTTGATTTAATAGACAAGCATATAGGCTATAAGCACAAAGCACATTCCTTTCAAACCGCTGTGGGATAGTTAACAAAAAACTGGCCAACCACCAGGAGACTGAACAACTGCCTTACTGGGCCACCTAGCCTGTTCGCAATTCGCTGCCATTTCCAAAAACGCCCCTTAGGTGGCAACAGCTCCTCACTTTTTAAGCAGAAACCCTCCAAGCAGCAAAAGGATTAATTGTGAACAGTGAGCTTCTTTGCCTATCTAAGACCTCAGAACATATAGAATGCCATCTACATGAGGGCAGCCATGCCAATGGCCCCAGCTCAGCCTGGACACCGTGTGACACAGGAGCCCAGCTCCAGAGCTGCTGCTCCAAGTAAGCCTGGCTCTGAGCCTCTTGAGCTCTGTGCCTTTAAGCCAGTGGTTTCAAGTTTTAGCCTCCTCATCTGTAAAATGGGGAATAGTAGTGAGGGGAGGCACAGGGGACTACATTTTTATTAATTTTTTGGTCAGCATGCATAGTAATAGGTCATCATGGCGTCTTCATCTAATTTTTGATTATTTAGAATTATTTTAATTTGGGTATTCCTTGAAGGATACCATAAAAATTTAACTGCTTCAGACCACTACCAGTTGGTTTCCACTGGCCTTTTTCTTAATTTCATTAAAACAAGCAAAAAAGGGCTGGGCATGGTGGCACACGCCTTTAATCCCAGCACTCGGGAGGCAGAGGCAGGTGGATCTCCGTGAGTTCAAGGCCAACCTGGTCTACATAGTGAGTTCCAGGACAGCTGTGACTACAGGGAGACCCTGTCTCAAAAAGACCAAAATAATAATAATAATAATAATAATAGAGCAAAAAAATACACGAGTTTCCTTACAGCATCATGAGTTCTTCAAGTGTGTGTTCAGATTCCACACGCATGCATATACATACAACTACATAACCACATGCATCCACCCTACACCCACAGCCATGCTCGCCCCCATGGCGTCACATCAATGGAAGCAGAAGCAGAAGCCTAATGACCTCAGTTGGCATAGCATAGTTTCATCTTCTTCAGAGTGAGTCACGGGTGTCTCTCCTCTCACAGGTGGGTCATCGCCTGGTTCAATCTCAGCATCAGTTACAGTTGCTCTGAGCTTTTAGGGCACAGGGCTGGAATATAACTGGAGGCTTGCATACTATTTTTCTTTTTTTTAAATATTTTATTTATTATTTTTATTTTATGTGTATGCTTGTATTCACTGCATGTAGGTAAGTGCACCCGTGTCATGCAATGCCCAAGAGGACAGAATAGGCCGTCGAATCCCCTGGAACTGGAGTTATGGACAGTTGTTAGCTGCCATGTGGGTGCTGGGATTCGAACCCAGGTCTTCTGCAAGAACAATCAGTGTCCTTAACCACTGAGCCACCTCTCCAGCCTGCATACTATTTTTCTAAATCTTAGAGTATTTTAAATCAACTAAGCATTTTAAATTTTATCTGCTTGGAGATAGCTCAGTGGGTAAAGTGCTTGCTATGCAAGCATGAGGACCTGAGTTCAGTCCCCAGAGGTCACATTAAAATGCTGGTCATGGGGGCTGGAGAGATGGCTCAGCGGTTAAGAGCACTGATTGCTCTTGCAGAGGACTCTGGTTCGATTCCCAGCACTTGCATGGTGAACTGTCCTTAACTTCAGTTCCAGGGGACTCTGAAACCCTCTTCTGATCTGTGTGGCTTTTCATGACATGGGTGCACTCACATACATGTAGGCAATGCACTCATACACATAAAATAAAAATAATAAATAAAATTAAATTTAAAAATGCTGGTCATGGTGGCACATACTTGTAATCCCAGCCCTGGAGAGGAAGAGGAAGGTGATTTTTTTCAAGCTCATTGGTCAGGTAGCCTACCCAAATCAGAAAGATCCAGGCCAATGAGAGAACAGGGCTCAAAAAAGTAATAGACAGCTCCTGAGGAATGACACCTGAAGTTGACTCCTGGCCTCCACATATAAGCACACACATGTACATATGCATCTGCACATTCATGTACCCACAACATATACACACACACATTCTTAATGTGCTGGAAGATCAGGTTCAAGTTTAGGATTGTACTTCATTGGAGCTCTGCAGGAGAAGGTGGTGGTGTGGGGAGAGCTGGTCTCCAGTTTTCAGAC